TAATCGGTCCTCTATCAGCTCTACATTTTTTTCTATAAATTCTTTAGTGTATCCATTACTCAAACAGTTTGTCCAACTCCTTGTACCAGAACACATTGTCCGTTAGTCGTAAGTTTCTGATGTTTAAACTCCTCAGTATTCCGATCTTCATTCTTTAGTTATGATAACACTGGAAATTAAGGATTATTCCCGCATACAAATTCTTTCTGTATAGTCTCATCATGAGTGTCCCTTTGGAGCACATGACTTCAATATCCAGAAAGGGTAGTCGTTCATCCTCCTACACCTCCATTGTGAATTTAATTCTTTCATCAAGTTGGCTAATAAAATTGAGGAGTTTATTCAGATTTTTCTTACCATGTGACCAAAGTGCAAAGTAGTCATCCAAGTATCGCATAAGCATTCTTGGTTGCAGTGGTGACTTCACGAATTCCCTTTCCAACTTGTCCATGTATACATTTGCCAAAAGAGGTGAGAGTGGAGATTCCATCTGTAGTCCAAATATTTGCTCGTAGATACTGCTGTTAAATGTAATATATGTGGCCCTTACTGTCAGGTTGATCAGTCATGTTAACGATTCTTTCCGTATCCGTTCTGCCTCCAAAATGTCCTCTTCTCACTCCAATATCTCCATTAAGGCACTTACTGTCTTCTCGCCTGAGATGCTTGTGTACATGGATTGTACATCGAAACTCGCCAGCAGTTCCGGCCCCACTGACCCAATGTTCAGGATCCTTTGAGAAAATTCATTTGAATTCTTGACGGTATTCAAGAGTCTGTCATTCACTTTCTTAAGCTTTAAGCAAATGAATTTTGCTAGTTTATGCATTTCTCCATGCTTGTTGTTGACTATTAGTCTTAGTGGATTTCCTTCCCTGTATATCTTTGGTAGTTCATAGGCTGTCTGTGGTCTTGCGTCATTTTTGATTTAAGATTTCATCATCCATCTGTCAATTTCCCCACTTGTATGCATTTCCTTGAACATATTCTTCAGTGTCTTGTTGATCTTCGTGGTTGGATCCTTCCTTAGTATTTGATAAGTGTTGCGGTCGCCAAGGGTACTTTCCATTTTCTCCGTGTACTGTTTCCTGTCCATTACAACGGTCACTCCTCCCTTATATGCCTGAAGAACTATTTGATCATGAATTTGTAATTTTTTCCGAATACTAGCCAATCTGCTCCATTTTATCGGTTCTTGAGGTGTCAGGATCCGTGGGATTATTTCCAGTCCCATCTCCCACCTTGTATCTTCTGGATATTTATCCGTTATGTTGATAACTTACACTAGGATATCACTAAGCACATTTTCTTCATTACCTGGTGAAAAATGTTACCCCTTCTTTAAGCGATCCGTAGTTTCAGAATCAAGAAAGATTGATGATAGGTTCACAACCCTAGTCTTATTGTCGACTGTAGCAGTTGATGCCTTCAATAGAAAACCATCACAATTTGCCCGAGTTTACTTGGTCTTGTATTCTCTTATTATCCCATAGCTAAGCAATTTTTTGTCATGTCGCTTATTTATCAGATCCCGGATCCTCTGTAACTTCTGGTCGGTCATGCTCTGGAGTTTTTGAAAGTAAGGCCAATCGACAGCTCGGCATAAGATTTCGAAAAACCTAGCCATAAAACGCATCCTCTATCCATGTTTTTTTGATGTTCTTCCATGCGTGAGCAGTTGATACATCGTTTATAAGTAAGTTTTCGAGAGTAGCAATGGTGCATATACGTGAAGTGTATTCAACGTATTTCATTAAGCTGATAATTGACTGGTAGGTATATTTTTATTTAATGATATGGATAGGCCATACGCTTCCATATAATTTCACACAGTCTTGCTTTTTAACAGGTATTCTCATCCAGAATAGACTTCAGTCCGACCCCATCTAGCTCTTATCAGTACCCCCATCGATACTCGAATTATGATATGCAGTGTGTACTTCCGGCATAACCAAGGACAATAGTGGCGGTGCGGTGTAGTGATTAACATGTCGAGATTACACGCTGTACTATCACAGTTCGAGTCTCGCTGGGGTTGCTGAGGGGACCTAGGCGAGGTTTAAACTGCAGTCCATTACTACCTGGATAAGAATACCATTTGGGAAGCAAGGCTATATGAAATTCAATGGAAACATAAGGTCTACTTATATCATTTTGATAAAATTTACCTACCGGTCCTTCATCACCTCAACAAAATTGGCTGAATACATTTCATAGTTAAAACATCGTTGTCGGTATTGCCTGTTAATAGTGACTTTCTTTGCACGGTACTACAACTCGTCATATTGACAAGTGGAAGTCATACTTTTGATGATTTTTATGTCTAACGGTGGTGGTAAATCTCTTCCCCTCTGCAGTGGTACAGTTCCTGTTTAACAACGCTTTATTCTCATCCTTTACTTCTCCGTCATAGGTATCCTCTCATCAGGAAGCAGAGAAGGCACAACGGTAAGACAGAAAAGTAGTCATAAATATGAAGATCAAGATCGTGTGGCCTTGTGCTTGGTCGAGAACACGGGACTAGGTACGTTCCAAAAGGTCTCCCTGACGTTCCGACCAAGTTGAAAAGACAAGGTCATACCAACATTAGAGATGTAAAAAATTTGCCAAATGGTAGCTTGGTGATACGGATTGCAAAGCTTCATGCCGATTCCGGCAAAACATCTGGGGATGTTCACAATCAATTTTCCGAAACTAGACGAGGACATGGTCACAAGGCCAGAGGAGTAAGTACGTGATACCTCGTTCGAAGTCACAATGACAACACTAAAATGTTACGAAAATGAGGTTAAAGAAGACTGCAACCTAGCCAAAGAGCACATAATTTTGGAAACGTGAACCAGGCGAAACTTGAGTAAGGATACAGTATTTCCTATGAGAGTAGTTTCGAGATTATCAGTAATTCTTGAATGAAAGCTTAATCACCATAGGGATTGATAATTGTTTTTTCCCACAAAGCTAAGAGTTGGCCCCATGATGCCGTTCAATTTCCCTCATATTTGCCTCCAAAGAGGGTATTTCATCCACGCCGTATTGTCTCATCACCACTTACAACGGGATTCGAAATGTAGCAACACATTACCCCTTGAGTTACAACATCTAAGGTTCCATTCATTAATTACTCATTGAAACATATTTGTCTCAACAATAATCCCTAGCCTATCCAGAACTTGTAGCATAGTGGTAATCTATCGATTGTCACGTTGCGCAAGAGCATGTTTTAACTCCTGTTGAGGATAATGATAAGACCTACACTATGTACAAACTACAGTCCAGTCGGGATAATAAAAACCTTTAGAGCGGCATGACTAAATTCAACTTTATTGTCAGACCTACTTGTATCGTTGTAGGAAACTTCAACTGTTATTGCATCAATTACCTTGAGCAAGGGATAGCTTCCAAAATGTGTCCATACTGTTGCGGGCTATCCGCATGGGTCACATCTACTAAATTTCACTATTGAGCACCACTAGTGAGGCAACATTCAAGGTGTTAAGGGAAAAATTTTTGCCTATGGGTCCTACCTTTGCTGTACATTCCTCTGGAGAGTTGAACTCAGAGATGCGCAGCGTTTCCTCTATGAGGACTGGGTCGTTATTGCGCCAATAGAAGACGAGATAGTCATCAGTGTAGCCGTAGCTGCCCATATTTATGTAACACATCTGCTTGTCCATAGGGAAGTGGAGCAGGTTCATCTGGCAGCCCAAACGCATGGTGATCTTTTGGCTGAACATAATCTGTCCGTTCGGCTCCACTCTAACCAGGCAATTTGGAGTAG